TTGTCGAATCATCGCTAAACAGCTTTTGAGGCGAATAACATGAAAAAGTCAATGACAAGAAAATAAACAAAAAAGAAAATAATATATTGTAGTATATACTATACTACATTTAAAGCCCAAAATGGGTTAAATACATTGATAAATTTTTTTTATTGAACAGAGGAAACTGAAAGTATACACCAGTAGCAATGCATATATACATATATGTACATACATATATGTATGTATACGGTTAACTAATTTATTTTAAATCATTTTAAATATTTAATTTTATTGATTTCGTTGTCAGTGATACCATCTATATATTATATATACTCTTACATATAATATATGTATATATATATATAACATAACACGTATGTGATTATTTTTATTTAAGTTATAGGTGTAATAGTGCCTCCGTTAATGACAAACAAATAAAACTGCAATACAACTATTACTTTTATAAATTATCCGTATGTAAGGGGGTAAAAATTCAAATTCTTTATATGTACATATGTACATAAGTCTTTTTAATGTTATATCTATAAACGGTTTGGCGGAAAACCACCCGACAAATCCTTCACTATATTATTTGCAAGTTACAAAATCGTGTTTCACAGCAACAAACTGGCAGCGAAATAGTCTCTTCAGCAGTATTATTGTAAAAAGCTACTTTCTAATTTGCACAAAGCATAAGTAAAACGACAAAATCATATAAATACAATTAAACTTGTAGTCAAATCGCTTGCTGCGGCTTTTGTTAATATTTACTTTGAGGATTTTGATACTTTCAAGACTTCAATTAAGGAATAATCAAAGAGTATATTTTAACAGTCAAAAAATATTAAAAAATTAAAAAATATACGTAGATAATTATATGACAAGCGGACCGACGCAATAAGTTCAAGTATGATTTAAGTTTTTTTTTATTACTTACAGCTCAGCGAAAAAAAACATTTCCCATAATTTATTATATGTATGCACAGACATACAGTGGCTCAAAGTGTCAATAGTCCAACTGTAACCAACTTTTTTTAACTACAAAAAAGTATGGGAAATTAAGTTCACTTTGTTCAAGTTATAAACTCAGGAAAACATTTTTTTCTATTCAATTATATTTTTCATAAAAATAGGCATTTAACAAAATAGGGGAAAAATTCATGTCACAGTGAAAATGGTCCATTACAGCAACTTTTAAATAAAGTTCAATACCTCTTATTTCTAATACTTTTTAACGAATAACGAACCTTATACGATTTGGTATAGATTCCACCAGCTTTTATTGTATATTCCTGGCAAATTGTGCCCCATTATTCGAAAAAGTATTTTTTTTTAAATCATCTTTGTTCGATATACTGTATTTTCTTCTTTCAATTTGCAATTTATACCATACATTTTCGATTATTTTTATATCTGGTGATTGAAAAAGCACTTTGCGCAAGGTTTTTTTTTTCAAAATACTTAGATATTGATATATGTCCATAATCCCTTGCACAAAACGCAGCTGAACAAGTCACCACCGTGCTTAACTTTGTCGGTTGGTTGGTTGGGTTTTCTCCAAACGTTTATTCATAACCCATCCGACTCGAAAAATTAATATTACTTTCCTACATTCGTGAATATCACGTCTTTCCAGAACGAAAATTCTCTCCTACCATTTAGTTCATGCTTTCGAAGAACTCTTCCAAAGGTCTCGGCATTATAATTTATTTTGAATTGATTTTTTTTTCATGTCACGTAGTTTTGGTGCACTCAGCCGGGGATCAATCATGTTTTGTTTGACTATCCACATCTCTTGACAGTCAACAACTCTTTTATCTAATTTTCGGTTTATTTATTACTCGATTTTCATTTTTAAACCGATGAAATGATGTTTTCAACTGCTGTTCGAGCTTTTTTTAGCGAACTTTCGATTTCTCTTTGAGATTTTCCATTTTTATGTTACTCAGTAATTAAATCTCGCAACTCAAATTACAAATAAGTAAAACACGAGTTCGTTCCAGTGCAAGCAGCTTAGCTAGGGTTGTTCATTTTCACTGTGACATGAATTTTCCTCCTATTTTGTTAAATGCTTATTTAAAAAAAAGTAATTGAATAAAAAAAATTTTTTCTTGGATTTTTTAACTTGAATAAAGTGAACTTATGAAATTCGCTTATATTTTTGCTATTTATTTGAATTGCTCAGTCTTTTTTATATTTAAAAGCGGTTGGTTACAGGTGGACCATTTTCACTCTGAGCCACTGTAATTGTTTGAACAACTAGTGTATTTTTTTTCAATTATCTCACGCCAGTCAGTCACCTATTTATATCGTGCATAACTTGCATGAATTTATTATTTCATTTTGTTTTGCTTTAAATAAGCCGTTGAGTCAGTTCAATACTTTGTTTAATTTATACATATGTGTGTGTGAACACAATAGTTTTCACTTAACTTTTATGAATTTTTAAAAACTTTTATCGATTTATAAGCTAACAAATGGCAATTGATACCCAACATAATTATGCTATATTCCTTCTGAAAAATTTTAATAAATTCAAATCGAGGATGAAAATATATATAAAATTCTGATGAAGAGCTTTAAAAATTCAAAGCACAGCATTTTAAAATACATTTCCTGACATGAAAAACTTGATTAGAATTTTAATGTTGAGTTTTATTTTAACGGCAGTAATAGTGTCAAAAGTATTGTCAGTCCCTAATAACGTGGAGATGGGGGACCGAATTAAAACAGAAAAATCAAAAACAAGTTACACTAGACATGACACGACCTCATGACACTCTGATACGTGGCTCATATTGCTACCCGCTCGTATATAGCACCCGCGAAATTAAACTACATTTTAAAATCATTAAGTTGCAGGTTTTGTGTGTTTATGAACAATGAAACAATTAAACCACAAAGCCGGTAGCAATGTTGACACTGAAACAGCGTAAAAAAATATAATAAAGATCAGACAAATTGCATACATTATGTGCGTACTTATGTCAGTGAGAATGCATATGCCAATAGCAGTGAATTTGTACAAGTATTAAAATATTAGCATATAAATAGATAAACTAATATATGTATACAAAAATATACATATGTACAAATAGAACTAAGCCAAATAACAGTGTATGTTATCAGATCAGGTTGTCATGGCCAATGCTAGATATGCCAACAAACCTACAAATAACCACAACCATCAACCAACTACCGCCATTGAAAAAGGGCAGACAGACGACAACTGCACTACCAAACAAATGTGTGGTCTCTGTGTAACTGTAATTAATACATATCGTACAATAAATGTTTAAAAATACATACATAATATATTATTTATGATATATATATACAAGTAGTTGAATTTTCATACTACTATTACTATTTTTGTATACTATAGATACATTATGTAATTGTCATTATTAACTATTTGCTTACCTTGCTCTGCTTCATAATGGTAATGAAAATACTTCCTTGATTGTTTTTGAAAAAAATCAGTGAAATCTTGTTTTTGAATAGTACCCGCTTGATATTTGAGGCGCCAATCTTTGAGTGGCGTTTCGGCAGTGTGTGTTGGCGGTGCAACCACATCTTCTAAATCGAAACGCTCCATAGCGTTCTGAACGTTATAGATAAAACTCCACCTACGTCGACAATCTTTCTGAGCTTTCGTATACACCTACAATGGTGTTCACTATCTCAAGCTGTGGATTTATTTTGCTTTTGTGTTAGTTCTTTTCGTTGTATTTGTTGCTGTTTACAAACTTTATTCTGCACTTGTTCTTTTTCTTTTTGTATTATATCTCGTTATTCTTGTTATAGCGGAAAATTTTATGTTGCATATTATGACATACGCGTAAACAATAGTGTCCGCAGTTGGCCAAAGCCGTTGGGAGGTTGCTGCATTCAAATCTTTTTCTACTCCCAAAATCAATTACCTTATCTGCAAACTACTTTTTACAATATTTTTTATACATACATACAAATACATTTAAATATGTTATGTTTTACTTCTTTGTTTTTGTCTACTGAGTTATTGTATTAACCCATATGAATATTTGGATGCTCAAAGAATAAATTTCTTTAACAGGAAATAAAACGACGGCGCTGCTCAACGTTATACGAAGCTTCTGTAGATACACCTCCTTTGTTTATTCTTTGAGATTCTTGCGTATACGAAATGTATGTGCTTATTTTTTCTTATTTCCTTATTTCCGTTTATTTTTATGACGATGAATGCTGTTTTCGAATATCGGTATCTGAAAGAAAGAAATTTATTTAATAAGCAACTGAGAGTTTTCGCACAATTTTTTATGTGCTAATGATGTGAAACCGAAAAGAAGCTAAATATACAAAAGACAGGAAGAAAATAATTAGGGATGTTTTAGCTTTGTTTTTAAACAATTGCATGTGTATATATTTTTTAAATTTTAACTACGGTAACAGTTTTAAATCTAAAAATATCTTATAGATTAATTAACCACAACATATACATATACACATATGTATGTTTACTGAAATTTGCATGAGAGGCTAAAATACATTTCTGCAGAAACGTTATTATTAATAATATTTTATGCAAATTAAAATTAAATGCCATTAAGAGTGGGTGCGGTTCTCAAGTAATGAAAAGTGTGTACTATCGCAATAATATTAAAACTAGATTTCGTCTTTTTGTTCGTTTCCGTAATATACCGTATTACACCATTCTTAACAGAGAATATTCTTAATTAGTCTTATCTTTAACATATACAAAACAGTTTACAGCGCAGTTCGTGTTGGCTGAGGCACTATTGTTATACAAAATAAAACTTAAGTTCACTTTTATTCTCTTTTATAGCACAATTTTGTCTATGTATGAATGCACGTAATACTTTTTGAGGAAATCTACAAATTAAAAAATAAACCTTGTATGCACTTATTTAGGGAGCAGTTTCGTCAAATGTATGACTTTTTGATATTGAAAGCAGCATCATTAGGGTTTGTTAAGATTTACTTTTAAATAAAGTTTGTGGAAAAAAATTTCTTATCAGTATAAAAAAAAATTAGTTAGCTTTTGTGTATAAATATACTGTGTATGCAAATTTTTCTCTGCACTGAATACCAAGCTTTGCACCATCATCTGCTATACATATAATTAAATATGTATATACAACGATATGAATACTACTGCCAAAGATGACGTTTCCTACTAAACACTCCTACGCTTTTATAATTCTTCTTGCTCACAACTCCATTGTTTATAAATAAACACTAAATCCATGTACATATACAATATGTTTGTAAGCACATATGATTTGTTCAGTGCATAATTTTCGTACACGTCATTGGTGCATCACATATCTCATTAAGCTTATGCGTTCTGCAAAAATACAATTAGCAAAATACGCTTTAACTTGTTTTTGGTAATATATTCACTTTATATACATAAAATCAAGTGGCTGCTCACTGCTCCCTCTTAACTGACGTAAAATACTTTGCAATGCAAAAATATTTTTCTTCTGCTTGTGTTTTTTATATAAATATGCATGTATATATCTGCATTATATTTTACTTTGTTACTATTGCATTTATTGCTGCAATGTATGCATTCAACTATTCATTTTTTTGGTAATTATTTGCAATAAATTTTATTTTAAAGTATTGCGTACTTTCACGACAATTTTATTGCTGATTTTTCACATACTTTCATGTAATCACTCTACAAATTTTAATTTCTTTTTCGATTCGAAATTTATTCTCGTCCTCTACCTGTCTTTCTCCTCCTTTGGATTGTTTTTTATTTTTTACTTCTTGGATTTTGTGCTGATTTTCTTTTATTGCATCTCGCTCTAACTTATAACCACGAAAGCACTATCAATAATTTTTATCTTCACAAAGGCTTTTGTTATTGTTTTCGTTTCTATTTTACGAATACACAAAGCAAGCGAAATTCGCAGAAGCAAAAGGAAATTGCATAGCACACACAGAAATGCAAGTTTTTGTTATATTTAATAATAATGAAACTGAATGTATGGCAAGAAATGTAAAATAACTACACAAAATTTTTACCTGTCAGTTTCACACGTGAAGTGAATAGTGACTGAACAGCTGTCAGAAACGCAAGTGTTGATAGAGCCAATTTAATCCAAACAAGTTTCTCTATACACAATTCATAAGTACAAAAGAGACAGAAGTATTACAATAATGCATGGTTGCATTTCGGACAGAAGGCTGCCGGCTGTAGCAAAATTTAAATTAGTTTTAAGAACAATTTTCAAATTAGTCTGGTAATACAAGTTTTGAGCTTTTGAAAGGCAAAGTGGATTCTGATATTGGTGAAATGGCATATGAGTTTAACTTGACTGCCTTCAAACCCGATCGAAATTTTTTGTATCGTGAACCATAACGTGAACAAAAACTTTAAAAACAAACGATTCGCTTACATTTCTTCGGTTTTTATGCTTCACAAAATACTAAATGTCCGTGGATTTTTCCAATCGGAGTTTTCCTATAAATCGAAATACAGGACACCATAATTCATTACCTAATAAGATCCGAACAAAGATTAGAACACATTAGGCAATTCTGAACACAATTATGCAATTCTAATCGAATTCAATTCCTATTCTTTTATTTTGGTTGTTGGTCTGCCCAGTACTTGAACCAGTGTTCTACCGCTTGGTAGTATACACTGCTAACCGCTTGGCTACAAATATGAGTTTTAGTAAAAAGAAATCCATTATTTTTGTCCGACTCAACAATGTCCATGATTTCATTGACATTCTCGACAATTGACATTTCACTTCGTGAAGCACCCTTTACATCAAAATTACCGGAATGAAACAACATTGTGCATGACTGACTGTAAACGCTATTCACATTTTCAGCCGCCTGTCAAAACGTTTTCGCCCTTATCGAAGGAAAACAGCTTTGACACACGCTCAAACAAAACTGAACCAATCACAAAGCTGATTAATAATACCATCTTTTGGAAAAAATAATGGATTTCTTTTTACTACACCTAACGGTTTCATTAGTTGGTGAAGCCAATGTCTATATAACACAATAGCCCGCCAGTAGCCTCTTCTCTTTACGACCTTCAGAAGAATACAGTTTGTTGAGTTTCTTTCCTAAAATTGACTCAATATCTATGGGCAAACCACAGAATATTCCCATTGCAATTAATGTAGATACGTGATTAATGGACACACACCTAGAAAAAAAGTCGATTTAGAATAGACTTATTAAGTTCCATTTTTTCGCATCTTAATAGATCTCGGCAGGGAATGTCAACAGTAAAGGGTCCTCATAAAAAACCATTAGCCGTTCGAAAACGGTTTAGTACAAACTGTAGGCCCCTTCACTTTGCTGACAAAATATCAAGACGCACACCACAAATGGGAGAAGCTCGTCCAGACACTCTTTAGCGGTTACAAAGCGCCAATTATGTATGTTGAAGACATGAGTGTCGATCTCATAGAGTTCTGAAAGAAAAAAAATTTAAATTAAATAAATATATATATATATATATAAGAAATTTATACTCACCTTGAATTGTTTACCCTAATCTGAAATACTCACCCTTTATCCACTGGAATACGTACCTTAATTTCCAATTCCTGTAAAGCAAAGAAAATTGAAGGAAAACCGATAAACGAAATTTCCCCTCCTTTCCCGTTAATGTAAAACTAAGCTAAGTACTTTGTTATAAATAATAAGCTTACAGTATTTTTAAGTTTAATCGCTTGCTTACCTCAACACAATACGTTTGTTCTTTTCGCTTGCAAAAAACTCGACGGTAGTGTCCCTAATAAATATAATTTATAAATAATTTAATAAATATATATATAATATTTAAAAACAAAAGTGCGTGCTTTTAATTAAATAATTACATAAGTACAGCAAGTAGCTGATACTTATACAATGTATAATAGATCTATTTATTCATACGACGTGCTTCGACATCTGAATTGACTTCTTTTGTATATAGATGATGTGTCCAATCATGGTCTGGCCTTTACTTTGGTGGCAGTTCAAATCGTATGCATCCTGCATTTTTCGTCAGGGAATTAGAAACGAACAAAAATAATTTTGTTCCTGTAATATTACGATTTTGCTCCACTGTACATTGAGCTTCAGGCAAAGCTTTTCAAATCGTTCATTGTTGTCAAGCCAACAGAATGTAAACAAAGGATAACACGAAAGTTGTTTTTGCTTTAATGCGAACGATTCGTGTCCTTTGTTCATAATTAGTGGCAAAAATATATTCTTTCCTAGAATAATAATCAAAATTAGAATTTTAATTAAGAAAAATTATTTTATTTTCGCATAATAAAATGTGTAAAATTCAGTTAAATTTTCCTGCTAAAAATAAATTAAAGAAATAAACCCAAAGTGCTTCTTATCAGCCAGCGATAGCCCTTCGAATAAGTTAACTTTTCACAACATGCAATCGATTTTTATATTATGTAGAATCGTAAAAAATCGATTTGATATAAAAATTTAATTGAACGGGATTTAGTGAGCAAATGATAAATAAGAGTTGAAAATAATTGTACTCAACCAATATTACATCTTAGTGTGCATCTTAAACAATAAGAAAAATATTCAACTTATTTCAATACATTTAATCAAATATGGCCACCGATGTGAGAACTACGACTGTAGGCGCTGCAACAACAACAACAGCAACAACAGCTAATACAGCCACCAATGCTAACACAAATTCAATGATTAATACAAAAACAGTTATGGAAGCACAAACGACACATTCGAGTCAAGCAAAAACGCTAAATGCCGAAAGTAGTAGCTCGTCCGGCGGTAACTCAAACAATGCTGCTGGCAACGGAAGTAGCGCTACCGGTGGAGTATCAACACAAAATGATAAATCGGAAAAGCCCATCGCACATATTGATTTTAATATCCATGGTGATAGTATCGCTCTACTTGCCGGTGATGATTCGGACTATACGCCACCACCATCACCGCTGTCCGCTAAAGGCTATGGTCACCCGATAGAACCGCAAAAGCCGCGCTGGTTATCCTCTTTACACAGCGTGATCTTCATTATAACCTGTGCTCTAGCGGTCTTCATTGTTTTTCGTAACGTTCTAACTTGGTGAGTATGAATCACCTGTTTTAACCAAAAAACTGATTGTATTGTTTTAGTTTTTTATTTGAGTTTTTGACTTATTTCAATAAGAACGCTTTGAGGCTTGGATTTTCTTAGTCGTGATTTTTAGTCGTAGAACTTTTAGTAAATTAGGTAAGAGATTACCTTTTGCGAGTGAAGAGGTAATGCAGATCAATTCTCAAAAAGCAAAAGCAAACGCAAACTCTCCTAAGACCAAAATAAAAAGATATAAACGAAAAAATTATTCGTGTATATCCGGGCTTGATAAGCGTGGTTGCAATTCCCTTTCTCAAAATGGTACTTGGAAAGGAAATAGGGAGCCCTAATATTTTCTATTACAATAATTTTCAACGCAGAATTAAGGCTTCGAAGATATAGATTTTTCCCTTCCAAAGTCTTGCGGTTTGCTGCTAGGAACCATAACTCTCAAGACATTAAATGAAATGAGGTCACCATGCATAACTCTAAAGTAAAGAGAGTTATGAGTTTTTCAAATTCCGTACGATTTTTGAATGTTAAGCCTCTTAGTTTGAAAAGAATTCAGCATTCGTATCGAGTCAAAATTCAGTGTCGTAAATATTAATGGGATCAACCCTGTTTACGGCAGTTAGCAGAAGTTTCGCGAATATATAATGGTACTCTGGTTACAGTAAAGTAATTTTCTTTGGCCCTATTTACAGAAGAAAAACGAAAGAGGTTGAAACGCGAGTGTACGAATAGCTTAAATAGTCGACCAACAGGAGTAATGCTTACTATTGTATGGCCATCCAAAGTGAGTTCGAATAGCTATCGCAGGCTTGAAGAATAACAAAGCTGCAGGAGCTGTTGGATTACCGGTCGAGCATTTCAAATACGACAACAAAGAGCTGAGAAAACGGATGGATCAGCTTCTTTACGGAATACTGCCAGGCGAAAGCATGCCTGATGATTGGAACCTGACTGTGCTCTGTTCAATTTATAAATGAATATCCCAGATATTCACTTTCCGTAAAATCTTGCAAAAGACACATGAGAAAAAAATCTAGAAATAAAATCCCGTTTGAAATTGTTATTTCCGCAAAACTTATTAGGCTGCCTAAACTGCACTGAGTAACATCCAAAGCTGTGTCAGAACTGGGAAGCATCTCCCCGAGTCGGTCAACACTGAATCAACTTTTAAGCTGTAGAAAATACAACGAACTATAGAGGTAAATAGAGGAGGTAAAATCTTCTATAAGAACTTGCAGTAGCGTTGTTAGTTCTGCTTTCCCCAGGCTCAACAGTGAAATAAAGCAAATCGGTCTTTTATTGAACGAGGACAAGACGAAATATCTTTTGTTACATTTTTGAAGTTATCTCGTAAATAGTATCGATACTAATAATATCGAAAAATACAAAATTTAACGCGGAGCTTTGAACTGCATAGACAACTATGATCACTCTACAAGTCGCTACTCATTCCCGTCTTGACAATATCTGATGAGCCGGCTTTGGGAGTCTTCGAGGAAAAGTTTTGCCAAAGATTTATGGACCTTCACGTACTAGTGACGGAGGATACCATAGACGATGTAAGCAGAGAAAGAGGAAGGCCCTCACTGCATTGGTATGAAGGATGGAGAGCGGAGTCTTTGAAGAAGAGAAGAGGTTAGATTAGCTCTTTTCAAGGAGCCTCATCTGGACATTTTGGTGATACTAAAGCAGGCAATACCAGGCTACCTGAAGTGTGATGTCTTCAACTCTAGTGCATAAATACATAATTGGTGTGTTTTTTCTCGTACGATCTACATGAGTTCAGCTCCCCAATAGTATTGTAATTGGTTTGCTTCCATGCTCCACTAGCCATCACTGGGTAGTTGATGAATACTTCGGATTTCATTCAATGTTCAAGGATTCTGGTATATGATATATGTACATACATACATACATGATATGTAAATTGCTGTTTTCAATGTTAACAAATTGATCGCTTCAGTTCTAGCTTTAATCACAGCTTCGGATATACAAATGTATTTTACTGTATGAGTTAAACATTTGCCACCAGACCTTGGAGCACTTATCCTGGCTAAATTACATCGTCTTCCAACCCGAAGTAAACTCTTAGGTAATGCGAATGACCAGTTTTTTTTTCAATATCATAAAAACTCACATTTAGATATACGTACATATATTCATATATGTATCCTGATACTTTGGACAAAAACCAATAATAAATTAAATGAAAAGATGTAAACAAATTTTCCCCTTGCTCCTCCCTACTTAATGCAATGCTAATGACCGTTTTGCGCTTTACTTCAATAAGGACCACTCGCACCTTCATATATGTACATATGTATATACTTTCTGTTTTTAAATATGTATATGTTTATAATAGGTACTTGTAATTAATTCATATTTGCTTCTTAATATTTAACTAACTAATACATACATATACATACACACATTGATATACCTATGCTTGACCGATTGTTTACTCGTGACGTCATAACAATTTTGTTTACAAAATTGCACAGTCAATACTCATAATTTTCTCCTCTCTCTCTCTTCAATAATAATATTTCTTAAATGTCACACGCTATATATGTACATATGTACGAAATAAAGGGTGTTTTTTTTTTAGATATGTGGTTTTCAATAAGACACTGCTCTATTTGTAGTTGGTCTTTTTGACAGCTCTTACTTAATTTACATACAGTTTGCTTGCTTGAACAGGCTTACTCTGGAACAACCTTTGCGAACGCGAAATGGGTGCGCTCATAAATCAAATTCTCGCATTTGGAAAGATCTTAATCCACAGGCCATTGTTGAGACACCGTTACATGCTTCAAAAATCACTGTATGGTGTGAGGGCTGAGCCCGTATGCCTGTATTCGAAGATGATGATGTGATGATCGTTGGTTCCAACAAGATGGCGCTACATGTCATAGAGCCAACCAAACAATCAATTTTTAAGGAAACTCTTGGAGAACGCATTCTTTAGCATCCTGAGACTGTGGCGCGGTCTCCAAAATCGTTTGACTCAACAACTCTGTGCCATTTTTGTGAGGTCATGTGAAGTCGTTTGTTTATGCAGATAAGGCGACGCCGGATTCGATATGCTATTGCTGATATATGGTCGAGAATTGGACCTCTCGTCTGGAATTTATTCGAACCTGCTACGGTGGTTTCATCTCATGCATTCCATAGAAGCAACAGAACAATTGGTATAGTCACTCATTTTAATGTGAAATAGTTAAAAAGAATTTTTGGTTATTAAAGTAAGAAAGAGGTGTTGAGGACAAACCGAATTTTTTTTACAAAATTTACTTTATTTCCAGGGCCATCATGAAGACGCTACGTACGTAGAACCGTCCGCTATGTCAAATTCGGAATTGTAATAGAATTCAAAATCTATATGTACATATTAGAGCTCTAGATATCCGATTCATTTTTATTATTTTTTCTTTAATAAACCAGTCCAGTTCTTGAGAGTCTAGAAAATACCCATACCCATAGGGTTAAGATTAACGAAAACGATGAGACATTCAAATGTCGGACAGAGAGAAATGTTTAGATTCAACACAAAAACCCCCAGCGTTCTTTCTCTTACAAAATTATTTACATACCTCTACACACAAAAGTAATTGATTTATCGTGTAAACAAACACGCCCATGTCATAATTACAGTTCATACACATGTAGATATGCGCACCCTGTGAGAAAATCTATTTAACTAAGAAAGAGGATATGAAATAGTCTCAAGTACTGAAAAGTTATTACCACCAAAACGTTCGAGACGTTCTTCTCGAAATCCTAGCTCCGAAGTTGGGAAGAATTAATTAACGAAGACCTCTGAACCGACGACTCAAAATCTTACTCAAGGGTCTTTCAGCAGAAAAATCATTATATTATAAACAGTAAGCAAGGGTGGCCTTTCAGAGATATTCATAGATAATTTAACAATATAGATATAAGAACACTCATTGATTCCCTGGTTTGAGCAGGCTACTTTAGCAGAGGCACTACTTAAGGAAGTGTAGAGCTATACGAAGAATACATTCATGGACGGAAAGCAGGTGCTAAGGACAACACGATTGAATTGACTCTAGAGGGCGATAGTAAAATCACTTTTCCGCTACAGCAAAATATTTGGGGTTGATATTGGTGCTAAACTCAACTGGAAGACGAACATTGCAAGACGAATCAAGACAACATTACTTATATACTTATTAGCCTACTGCAGCTGTAACCGAACACTTAGCAGGAACTGAGGCCTAAATTCGAATGTACGATTGTAGATCAAATCCTGCATATGGATCACTGGCTTGGAGAATACTAAAAATAAAAAATGAACTACAATGAGCAGTCTCTTCTATGGATAGAATATATTATATTGAACCAGCTCTTTGAATAAATCATACTATTTCCACCCAAGATAAGATTTCTATAAGAGAGGATACCCTCTAGATATAAATGGGAAAGAAATATAGTACATGATCTGGTCCAAAATTAGCTGCAGGATGAGGAAAAAAGTGTACACCAAGCATCTTAACTTCTCCCGCTTTTTAAGTCTACTAAACTCAGCTGCCATCTTTTAAGCGACAATGCTAGGCAGAGAATAACCTATAAAGCTCTAATGAACAACTGACTGTAGAAAGCAACTGTTAAATATACTCGAGCAGTCGAGGGACTCAGCATCCCCAGTGGTAAATTCCTGCGGCGTTAACACTTTTAGAAAAATCTTAACTCGAAATCCCAATAATCTCGGCTTCCGGTCAAAAACATGTTTTCGTTAACGAAAAATTTAACGATTTTGCCAGCAGCCGACAACTCAGAAGCGGCGTTAGCACCATCTCCCCGTGCAGCCATCGGGAAAGAGCTTCAATTAAGATAATTCAGTGGAAGATAACGAAGCAGATTTGGTTCAAATATACAGACTACAACTAAGAACCTATTAAATAGGTCTAGGCATAGCATATATGCACATATAGACCTAGAATCACAATAATGGGGCTGGCGGAGCATGAATCTAAAATATGACTGCCCTATAACAGCCGTTCCTACAGCTGCGAGCGAAATGAATAAGGAAACAGTTGTGCATTTTCCCTCTGAGTGCCCAACCCTCTCACTCGCTCTATCTATCTTCTATCCTCCCCCTTTCTCTCTCTTTATCTCTCTCTTTCTCTCCCTTTCTCTATCCCGTTTTCCCTCTTTTTTCCCTTTCTCTCTCTCCGTTTTTCCCCCTTTCTCTCTCTCCCTATTTCTCTTTCTTTCTCTCTTTCTCTCTCTTTCTCTCTCTTTCTCCCTCTTTCTCTTTCCCTTTCTCTCTCTCTCCCTCTCTCTCTCTCTCTTTCTCCCTCTCTCTCTCTATCCCTCTCTCTCTCTCTCTCTCTCTCTCTCTCTCTCTCTCTCTCTTTCTCCCTCTCTCTCCGTCTCTCCCGACATGAAACATTTGAAATCAATCAGGTACCAAACCTCCATATAAAGTATAAGTATGTACCTACACATATATATATGACCTATAACCAATTCCGTTGGTGGTTTCGAAGCACCTATATTTCTATTCCTTGCTATTATTAACAAATTTAAAACAAAAGTTTTTCACAAATAACAGTCTCTGTGCGATAATCGTTACTGAATTTGAAATATATGCTTTAGTACCTTTAATTTCAATAAAATATAATATTAATAGAATTATAAATAAATTAAAAATTCGTTACTTCTATACTACAAAGAGACATTAGCTGATAAAGATTTCATTTTTCCTAGAGAGTCTGTAGGTAAATATCTGTAAAGTACATATGAATGCATTCGATAAATGCAATACCTAAAGTGAAGCTATATTCATATAAACATTCATACATATGTACATACATACGTATACAAATTTGAAGTTATAACGGCGCAACAACGAAATATACGTGATTTTCCAGTATAAAAGCTACACAGACTTACAAACTCTCTCGCCCTCTCTCTCTCTCTCTTTCTGCTGCAGCTTTTTGTTTGTGTGTTTATCACTTGTTGAGTGTATAAAATTTCTCGATCGCTTTGTTTTGATTTCAATTTCTTTACAAGCGATGAGATCGCGACGTAGCTTAATGAATAAAATTGTGAACAACAAACCGTACTTGTATGAGTATACATATGTACATATATAATCAAAAACATATTTACATACTAAGTACCATCACAACACAGGCACGCACCAGCTGACATTCTTTTGACGACCGTCCCGAGTTTCGGTTCTCCAAACAAATTCATTCCTCAATTACGTTTAGTGTGTATTTTCCATTTTCTTGTTTATTAGTGGTTTTCTATTTTCGTTTCCAAACCGCATAAATATACTCGTATATGTGCATATGTTTGTGTGCATACATGCATTTATCTACCTAGCATTGTAGTTCCGACTTTCGTTCAAGTTCAGCTTAGTTTAGTTTTACACGGGAAGCCTTGGCATACAAACATAAATATACTCGCATTTTTTTGTAGTTTTTTTTTAAACAAATTTTGATTTCAATGTGGTTTTTGTGATATACAAATACAAATATATGTACTACTATTGTTGCTTTTGTATTAATAATTGATAATGGAGAAATTTTACTACTTGGATATGTTTCTGCTCAGGCATTTGCAGAGCTTCTGGGGAGCATCGGGCGATTTCTGGCAAGCACAATGGGATAAATTTATCGATAAAACAGGTGAGTGTGAAGAAAGTTTGAAGAAAAATTATTAGTAAAAGTGTTTAAAGATGTTGGTCTTGTGGAAAGAAACCTATGAACTTTCTCTTGTCGCTGATATACATACAAACATTTACACATGTAAATACGTCTATGTTTTGTTATTGCGTAGCTGCATTGTTCACTGATAAAAGTGCATAATAGCGAATTCCTTTCTTTCTTTTGCTGTGGAAGACAACGTTCCTTAATGTCGATTTGTAAGACTTTTGACTCAAATTGTTATACACTATGTACTGACATTTTGATTTAGATTTACAATCATGAAATTAACTGATGGGCGTACATTCTCTTGGTATATCAAATAATTCTATTACTTGTCATATAATACTATTGCTGTTTATTTACAAATTTTTACGGTTCTGTAACGATTTATCGCTTAATCCATAAATGTTGTAAATGCAAAGATAGCGATAATCTGCGCTATCTTGCAGATTAATCTTTATATATTCACTTGAGATCAAAAAAAAGTTAGAAATTAACTTTATAATGAAATACATATGAACCTACAACCGTTTTACGCAAACTAATTTATCATCCCTTTCATTTTTCATGTATGAAGCTAAAATTGTCAGTGTCATACCAGTTAAATTCCAGCCCATTATGACCAGTTTCTCGGAAGAAATTCAATTCAACTGTGTACGGCCTGAAACTCTCCAAAAAACTACAAGTTTGGGTCTGAAGATTCAGTTTCATATGTCACAATGCAAATAATTCGTATAATTTTTGAATATTAAAATCACAGAGTTTAAAAACAAAATGAGATATGAAGTTGATTCAATTGTGAAAAATATTCGATCCGAAAATTATTAAAACTCCAGACAGTAGTTTTTATTAATATTCTTGATTTTATTTTAATTTTTTATGGATTAGTTTGCTTCTAAAATTAATGTTTTTAAATTTTTTTTCTGTTTTCAAGTGAGCATGCGTTAATTAAAAACTATTCCTATACAGCTGAGGCGCCTAGGCATTGGCGTCTCAATATTGTATGAATAAAAAAATATAAAAATATATGCGCAAAAGTTTTTATTTTTGATCGCCAGCTTGTCTGATAATATTTTAAAAATATAACAATTATATTGCGCTTATTGTTTTGGTTATGTGACCTATGTGTATATTTATTATCGTATAAACAAATACGATTGTGTTCTTCTGTTTGGCTTCTATAATGAATAATAACACCAAGAAGCTGTTTATACCCTAGATGAAATGTATTATGATTCCCGAGATGATGTGATTAGCTAAACTTTTTCTCAAAATTTCTGAAAAGTAGAGTTATAGTGCTCCGCAGCGAAAATAAGTGATATTTTTTTAAAAACTTATTATTTGACTTTTCATTTTCATTATTTTATTTTAATTTATATCCTTTAATGATTTTTTAAAATTTATTTTATTTCATTTCACTTTATTTCATTTCAATTCATTGTACTACACTTCGCTTAATTTCATTTTATTTTGTTTTATCTTTTTTTAATTTTAATTTATTTTATGTTATTTTATTTTATTTTATTTTATTTTATTTTATTTTATTTTATTTTATTTTATTTTATTTTATTTTATTTTATTTTATTTTGTTTTGTTTTATTTTATTTCATTTTATTTTATTTTATTTTTATTATTTTGTTTAATTTTATTTAATTTTACTTTTTTATTTCATTTTATTTATTTTATTTAATTTAATTTTTTTTATTTTTATTTATTTTTGATTTTATTTTCCTTCTTTTTCTATTTTATTTTCTTCTTAAACTTCATGTAGGGTATATGTGGATTTGTATGTTTATATTTCATTTATACTCAAAAGATACATTTCTAATCGTTCAACATTTCTTTGTTTATTATTATATAGCTATGAGCATGTATGTATGTAAGTCCATAGTCTATTTCATAATATAGAAAACTTATAAACTACAATTATTCCTTCTTAATTCTTATATTTGTTTTTAATTTTTAATAACATAAATGGGTGAAACCTTTAAAAATTTTATATTTATTCAAACTTAATTTTCAAGTCAAATCCAACATTAAATTTGTGTATGTAGACGCAACTGCATCTCAAGGAAGTTCACTGTACATACAAATAAAAGACATTGGCATATTTGTAAATATGTAAGCTCGTAATATAATCTTTTTTCCTTTCCTTACGTGTGATTGCGATCGTCACGGTCATTTTCACTCTAATTGTTGCCCATGTCGCAAAAGCAAAATATAAACAAAACATAAACAAATGCTAAGTACTTTTACCATGCCTATTTTAGAACAATAGAACGAGCCCCAATTGTCTAATCACGTTTTACCACACAAACATATGTATATACATATGTATATGAATTTCACTAAGCCTATTTGTCATAAGTAAATACGTATGTAATGTATACATATGTACATACTTTATTGACTTGCTCATAATTAGTTTCGGTGGCTTTTCACTTAAATCCGAATTATTCCAAATATTGGCTATCAGCTGGTGTAGAAAAGAGGCATTGTTTTATATATTAAAATAATAAAATTTTCACTAGTAATTCATCCAACTATTTATAAATCATATTTTAAACATTCACATAGATATATATGTATATGCTATAATTACATATTTATATTCAACAAGTGTTTACATAGTCATTATGAATTGAGTCAATCGCTTTTGTTTGCATGCTTAATCAACGTTGTAACCCGTTATCCGCTCTCCCACACTAATTCATACATTTATTTGCATTTAACAAATTATTAACTGTGTATATGTATGTGTATGTATATATTTTTTTGTTGTAAAATATTATTTGTCTGCTAAATATTTCACTTGTCAGATTCAATTAAATGGTGAGAAATTTTTAAGTGAGCGGTCCGCCATTTCTATTTGGTCGTAGTATGTATGTATGTATGTCATATATTTTTAGTTATATTCCGAGTGCTTTTGCACTGGAAAATCAAGAATTTGAATAGTTGGTGTATAATATATTCGAGCATAGTTCATGCATGTGTTTCAGCTGAGTCGCTTTGTTGCTTCGCGCCTAAATGTAGGCAGATTTTATTATGAATGAAGTTGGAGAATTTGCCAAAATTTGATATATTTACATATATAATATACATATATATATATATATATATATATATATATGATGCTTTGTAATCGCTGCATCGATTTGTGGCCGAGCTTCTTCTTTAATTTGTAGTGGGCGCTTTGATGTTTACCTACAAATGCAGAGACCTATAATTTGATATGAACAGCTGATTTTTTTTATAACGAGCTTTTATTTCATGCCAGAAACACTCCCGGAGTGTTGCCGAGCGGCGACAGCAATTGGAGAAATTAACATAATTTTTTAATTAAATTGATTTTCTTTAATTTTGAATAGCGGCTGGGCCAGGACTCAGCTCTGATCTTAATATTATAGGAGGCTTATGTGCCTTCTTGGGTTTTAAACATCATCACTAATGACAAGAGGTTATGTATGTATATAACAAAGGTGATCGTCCATGTGTGCCAGGGGTGGCTAGTTTAATAATTGGTTGATGCTAGCCTAGAGGGACGATGGATAAAAAACTAAGGGAAGAAAAGTACCATAAGACTAAAGATTTCATTTATGAAGGCGTTCCCTAACTTCAATGCAGGACATGGTTTATTTAGCCGCAAACCAGTCCATGGAAACTAGTATTGCACCCTTGCCCTTAGCCAAATGTTGTGTCCGATTAGCTTGTCCGGTGACTCGTAAAGCATATCATCAAGCGTGAAAGACTGAATTACTGAACGGCTCTCATATTCATATGTACATGTGTATACATAATTTGGGCTTTATAGTCGCCAGAGCCATTTTCGGCCCAACTCTTCCTCTAATTTATACCTCTGTACATCTGGATATTTTGCAACAAATGGCTCTACAGTTCAAAGGCGCCTCCGAACGACTGATTGAACGTTCAGAGGAGCTTTTTATACCATATCAAGTGCACATATACACGTACATATGGAGGTGTTTACATTCCCTGTCGAGAACCGACCGTAAATTAAAGATTGTATAAGCACTTGTGACCCTTCGCATACATTGCTACCCTCTAAGCTACAGCGCCAGTGTATTTTAAATGTTAAAAAATGCAATCTCTAAGTTAAACACCAGACATCAATACGATTTTCCGAATCCTAAAGCTTATACTTGCAAAAAGATTACAGAAAGACTGTTAAGGTTGAGCTTCTCAAGCCATGCTTTTTAGTGTAAATAACACTGAACCAATGCGAACGCGGTAGCCGAGTTGTTGGCATGGCATTGCGTACTGCCACTCGGAAGGCCAGGGTTCAAATCCTGGTACGACCAAGATCCAAAAGTTATAAAAAATTAATTTAAGTGGAAGCATAAGTTAAATTTTCTAATTGCGTTTGCTCCTCGCCAGAGAATGCCAACCTCTCCCAGTGTATTTCTGACATGAAATAATGGCCCCTCATAAAAAAACCATCCGCCGTTCGGAGGCGGCTTAGTATAAACTGTAGGTCCCTCCATTTTGTTGGAAAAACATCAAGATGCAAAACCACAAATTGGAGGAGGAGCTCGGCCGAAAATCGCTTCAGCGGTTAGGAAGCGCCTTTGATATATATAAAACTGAATGATGACTGAGTCTTTGTTTGTCATACGCGATTTTGCCGCGGACCACTCTCAAAGAGTTAAAAACTTTCCTTACTTCAGTAGTGCATTTAAAAAAAAATCGCATAGCAAAATTCAACTACCGTAAATATAAGTTATGAAATACGAAAATTTTTTTTTTTTTCTTTCAATTTCAGGTGATGATCCCATGGTACTTTGGGTGTTTGGCAGCACCATATTCTCGATGATAGTCTATTGGTTTGTTGGCGGCATTTACACTTTTATGGATTTGACTAACCGACCAGCATTTCTGCGTAAATACAAAATTCAGCCCGGCACTAATGAGCCGGTCGAAACAGAACGTTTGATAAAAGTAAATTTAAATAATATTTTCTCCTTTTTACATATGTATGTAGCATACTAACAAGCTACTTTGTTCCCTCACTAATCTGCAGGTTATATGGCGCGTTATTACCAATCAAGTATTTGTTGGACTCCCATTCGCTTTTCTCAGCTATAAGCTAATGACATTGCGTGGACTCAGCTCGATACGTGAATTGCCTACATTCCATTGGGTTTGCGTTGAGCTAACGGTGTGCATTCTCATGGAGGAGCTTGGCTTTTACTACTCACACCGTTTATTACATAACAAACATATTTACAAATTCATACATAAGCAACATCACGAATGGACCGCACCCATCGCCGTCACTGCGATCTATTGTCATCCTGTAGAGCATATTTTCAGCAATTTATTGCCGCCGTTTTTGGGCGTTTTCCTAATGAACACACATGTAGCTACCGCTTGGATGTGGTTCGCTCTGGCCATTTTGTCGACACTTAATGCACATTCCGGTTATCATTTGCCCTTCTTTCCCAGTCCAGAGGCACATGATTTTCATCATTTGAAGTAAGAAAAATTAATGTCAATTTTTTTTGTGCAAAGTTTTAAATCAATTTTGTTTTCCTTAACAGATTTAACAATTGCTTTGGTGTACTTGGTGTTTTGGATCGTCTTCATGGCACTGATATTCTATTCAGAGCCACCAAGTCCTACACGCGTCACATTATGATGTTGAGTTTTGTGCCGCCACGCGAGGCCTTTCCGGATTCATCAACCAAATAGAATATAAGTTTTTGATTAAATCAAATATTATACATTTTAAATTATTATATATCCAATTCACAATACATATACAGAAGTACATATGTACGTGTATGTACTCGATTATGCTTATTTGGTAATAATTTATAGATTTACATAAGTTGCAGTTTTTAAATGTATGTGATATATGTATGTACATATAAATGTAGTTAAATTAAGTACTAAGAGAATTATAAATAATCAGAGTCTGATGGGTATTTTTTTATGTGTTGATGTGTAGAACGGTCACTTATCTTTCAGCCTCTTACAGGGTACACTTATCCAGCCGCCCGGAGATGGCGAATCTGAAGCCATAATTGATGATGATGGAAAAGACGTTCCTTATGAGGAGGTTCGAATTGCGATTGCCCTCTTAGAGAACAACAGAGCGACTGAAGCCAGTGGCTTACTGGATGAGCGATATAACCATGCCGGTGAAAAGCTGACAAGTTGCATTCTTCGTGTTTTTTGTAGAATGTGGTCAGACTGAAGCATGTAAAGCGATTTTAACCTAAATGTGCTCAGCCCAATCCAATCCGTGGGATTAGTCTTCTAAATATCGCATAAAAGGTTCTATTGAGCGTATTGTGTGAAAAACTAAAGCTAAATCCACTATTGGCCAGATGTTCCCTATGAGAAAAATCTTGATCTAGACCCGATAGAAAAGAATCGATACACATCGTCTTTTCATAAATTTCAAAGCTGTCTTCGACAGCACTGTAATTAGCCGCTTCTATTTTCGTATTCCTGTAAAACTTATACGGCTGTCTAAGCTTTCGTTGGACATCACCGGAAGAGATGTAAGAATTGAGAAGGATCTCTCCAAGCCTCTCGGTACAGACAGGTTGCCTTTTTTCTTGTTATTTCTGCAACCTGATGCTGGGGAAAATGATAATTGCTGCCGAGTTAAATAGACAAGGCGCAATCTTATAAAAGAATATACAACTGCGAAAAGCTTAACAAAGAAGCGAAGCAAATGGGTAGAGAATGAGGGCAGGCCGAAATATCTCCTGTCAACAAGCAAACAGTCACACATCACTCTTGACAGTTATAATTTTGAGGAAGTAGCTGGTTTTGTCTATTTAGAGACCAACTTTAACACCAATAATAATGAAGTCCACCCAGAATCACTCTTGCCGATAGGTGCTACATGGGTTTTAGTAGCCAGTTGAAAAGTTAAGTCATTTTTCGACGAACGGAAACCAAACTCTACAAGTCAGTCATCGTTACTGCCTTACTATTTGTTGCAGAAGCTTAAACGATGTCTACATCCGATGAGTCGGCCGATCCGGTATTTTCGACTAAAGCCAAACAACGTCAAAAACGCCCGAAAGCCCAACAATCGGCTGGAAAGGATATGTCCGTGTTGGGATATTCATCGACTATCTGGGGAAGGCAATCAAATCAACAGCATAAATAAACTTCATAAATTCAACTTCGAATTTTTTTCAAAACCCACAACAACAGGCATAGCTCAAATAATGCTCACAGATATAATTAAAAAATTATCGCTGAAGCTCAGACCTGGGGAAAAAAATGAATCGTTCTACAAAAGTGTTAGAGTGGAGTTGAAATAATTGCTCTTGATGGAGATAACATTGATAAGTAAAGCCAATTTGAACAAAAAAAGCTCGTTTTCTTTGTTAGGGCCTGAACTTTTCGGCACATGTAGCGATATTTGAATAACCGTTGAGAGCACTTTTTAAAGAATTATGATCTTTGCATACTACGTACCGCTCAACGATGACTTCGGCGGCCTTGACATTCGGATACAAAATATCTTGATTCAAAGTTTTCGTCGCAACTCATACTGGTGGAAGCTGGAAAAGCGTTAAATATTCGCTCCGTGGGAAAAATCTAGTGGAAGTGCCAACAAGATAGAAAAATAACCGTGATCATCAAAAGAAACGATATTTGAAAAATTTGAAAATCGTAAAAACGCCTAGGCCGACCTTTAATAAAGTTGCCAAATATACGAGGGGCTGTTGATAAGTTCGGGACCTAAAGTACCTAGTAAAAGAATGTATACTTTTATGTGTTTTTTATTTTTCCATATAGGCTCTCCCTAGTGAAATACACTTTTCATATCGTGAATACAATGACTTTTTACCACTGAAAAAATATTCTTTAGACTTCTCTTCAAAATGGTTTTCTACAGCCGCTTTCATCTCACTAGCGTCTGAAAATCTTCATCCCCGTAACTCTCTTTTTAAATTTGAAAAAATAAAAAAGTCACTGGAAGTCAGGTCCGGATTGTAGGGCGGATTGTCATTTTCTATAAATCCAGTAGCTTCCAAGGCGCCCTTCTCAACCCGAGCGGTGTGAGCGGATACGTTGTCTCGAAGAAAGAGTACTCTGTGCGCTAACTTGCCACATCGCACGCCGTTCATTGCAGTTCCCTTTGACAAGTAATCAGTTAATAATATTCCCTCGGAATATCAGAGGAAATAGTAGACATAATCTTCGACACCGACTCCTGTTTAGATTCGGGATCATACCGACGAATCCATGTTTCATCGAATATTGCAATACTTCAAAAAATCTTGTGGAGCAGCGTAAGCTTTCAAGCTACCCCACGCGCACTAATTTTTTCGCATTCAAATGTTCATGCATCTCTCCAGCTCGTTCTTTGCTAATCTTGCGAAATTCTTCACGACTGTCACATTGGTGCGGAAAGCTGTCGAAATTGGACGTCTGTCAATTTTAGCTATATTTGGTCTGTGTAAACATTCAGACTGTCGTCTGGAATACAAATTTATTTAACAGTAGGAATACACAACAAAGTCCAGATGTTTTCAGCTATTAGCATAAGCGCGCGTGTTTGCCAAATAAGCAAACGTACAAATGGGTGTACATACAAAAACCAAGATCTAAAAAAAATTTCAAAAGATCAAAAACTCAATTTTGATACAATGCAATAAAAATACAAATATTGTGTTTTGTGCGAAAGAATAAGCTATGCATAATTAATTATTGTAACAACGATAAAATTATATGACAAATATTGGGTTGCCCAAAAAGTAATTGCGGATTTTTTAAAAGAAAGTAAATGCATTTTTAATAAAACTTAGAATGAACTTTAATCAAAATCCACGCTCATAGAACTTCTGGCCTTTATCTGCAAAAAACTGAACCAAGTGCGATTTTATAGCCTCATCATTGCCGAAAGTTTTACCATTTAAGGAGTTCTGCAAAGATCGAAATAAATGGTAGTCTGATGGTGCAAGGTCAGGGCTATATGGTGGATGCATCAAAAGTTCCCAGCCAAGCTCACTCAGTTTTTGGCGAGTGACCAAAGATGTGTGCGGTCTAGCGTTGTCCTGGTGGAATATGACACCTTTACGATTGACCAATTCTGGTCGCTTCTCCTTGATGGCTGTATTCAATTTGTCCAATTGTTGACAGTAAACATCCGAATTAATCGTTTGGTTCCTTGGAAGCAGCTCAAAATATACGACACCCTTCCAATCCCACCAAACAGACAGCATAACCTTCTTTTGGTGGATATCAGCCTTTGAAGTGGTTTGAGCTGGTTCACCATGCTTGGACCATGATCGTTTTCGACTAACGTTGTTGTAAACAATCCATTTTTCATCTCCAGTTATGATTCGTTTTAAAAACGGATCGAATTCATTGCGTTTAAGGTGCATATCACAAGCGTTGATTCGGTGTGTTAAATGAATTTCTTTCAATACATGTGGTACCCAAATATCAAGCTTTTTCACCAGTCCAAGACTTTTTATGTGATAATGAACGGTTGATTTTGGTATATTTAACTTCTCTCCTATCTCACGCTCAGTTACATGACGATCCAATTCGATTAATGCTTTGATTTGGTCATCATCAACTTCATTTGGCCGACCTGAACGTGGCTCATCTTTAAGTGAAAAATCTCCAGAACGGAATTTGCGAAACCAATTTTGACACTGTCTTCCTTTTAAGGCTTCATCACCATACACATCTCGTAACTTTTTAGCAACCTGCTCCGCGTTTTTTCCTTTACGGAAATAATAAAGTAAAATATGACGAAAATGCTCCTTTGTGGGCTCCATATTAAAATTGACGCCAAACAAACAAATGTAAACAAAATTTCGCGCACTTTTTTTCTAAAGCAAGCTAAAAGTAACAGCTGATAACTGACAGAAGAAAGAATGCAATTACAGAGTTTGAAGCCGCAATTACTCTTTGGGCAACCCAATATGTTACATATTTTTCAAGTAAAATTGAAATTTAGATAGGTATATATATGCATACAGTCTTGGCCAAAAGTATTAGACACCCTACTAAAATAAAAGTATTCTCAAATGTGTCTATCTAAGTTACCACTTCTTTTTGTAAATTTCTTATTGTGTAATATTAAAAGTCATAGCACTCTAGGTAGGCTAAACCTAAAAATTGCAATATTTAAGAAATTCATAAAATATTTTCGCATTTAAAATTTGAAAGTGAAAGTGTAAATTTCATTTAGTGAAAAGTTACCAATCTTATAAAAACAGTTCATATTTACCGAAATGCCAAAAAAAAGTGAAATTAGTGACGAAGATTGAGTTCGAATTCAAGTTCTAAGTGAAGAAGGTAAGTCTCAGGTTGAGATTGCCAATTTGGTGGGATGTTCGGGATGCGATTTGTGGAAACGAAATCCCACAATATTAAATCAAAAAGTGGAAGAAAGCGCCTAACCAGTAAACGAGAAGACCGAATACTTATACGCGAGTCTCTCAAGGATCGCAAAAAATCTACTTCTGCCCTTGCAGGTGCCCTCTCGGATAAATTTAACAAAGCAGTTAGTGCTCGAACAGCCAGAAGAAGACTTCTGGAAGCAGGTTTAAAAGGATGTAAAAACCAAAAAAAAAAAACAGAAAAGAATAGGAAAAATCGTTTGGAATGGGCTCGCCAATACCAACATTTCACGGAAGAAGATTTGTCGAATGTTCTGTGGTCTGATGAATCAAACTTCGAAGTAAGCTTATTTAAGATCGTCTTAAAGTATTACCACCCATAGCTTCTTACCCTAGAGCAATTTCGAAGGCATAATACAAATCTTATGAAAACTTTATATTTTCTTTACTACAGATATTTGGAACACCTAGTGTGACGTTCGTGAGACGACGGGTTGGGGAAGAATATCATTCAGATTGCGTGGTACCCACTGTTAAGCATGGAGAAGGCATCATTACGATCTGGGACTGTAGGGCTGCTGGTGGTGTCGGCGAAATGTTCGTTTGCGAGGGTCGCATGGACAGTCAAAACTACATAAATGTATTAGAAGCTGTTCTTCAGCCTTCGTTAACGGGTATTTTCGACGATTTTAATTTAGACGGTGTTCAATTTCAGCAAGACAATGCTCATTGTCACACATCAGCCTCTACGATGCGTTGGTTTAGAGATAACAACATTGTTTTGCTAGATTGGCCTGCACAATCTCCAGATCTTCATCCCACATGAACACATGTGGGCAATTTTAAAACGCAAGATCAAAGAACAGAGTACAACATCCTGCCTTAAAGAATGCCTTACTTAACGAGTGGTACGCCATAAGTGCGGACGAATGTGCAAAGCTTGTACGCAGCATGCCTAAGAGAATTGCTGCCGTTACTAAATCGAAGGGTGGACCTACTTCACTTGTTAAAACGAAAAATTCAGTATTTAGTGGGATGCCTATTACTTTTGGCCAAGGCTGTATATGCATAAATGCATATAAACTCAGTGATATCACGTAAATAAAGCTATTTTGCTGTTCAATATTACTATTAATTAGTGAAATTTTATTTTCAAATGACGAAATATATATTGAAATTAACTATATTTGTATATACGTACAAGTGCACGCATGCATAAGGCTAGTTATTAATATCGAAGGTTAAAATGCTTTATCTGGCGCCTTTATCACTCTCTTTTAATCTCTCTTCAAATTCCATATTAAGTTTTCCTTGTACACACACGGCACACACATATCGCCATTCATTCATAAGCACGGTCAAACAAATAGAAAGTACTTAGTACTTAGTCAAATACTTATCACTGTTACTATTTACCTTCCATATTTCAGCCACACCCTTCTATCCATCGATTTCCGCATAAATCTGTAAATTCAAATACACAAAACAAAATTTATTTAAATAAAAAAACAACGTGCTTAGTCGCTTTCGGTTGTAGGCTACACATCAAATTTGCCATTTCTTTATTTGCGCAAGGTTAATTGGTCACCACAACTGTTTTACGATCTTACCAGTGTATAATTGTTGAATACATATGTATGTATGCAACTTGCATAAGGAGCTGGCCCGAAAATCGCGTCAGTGGTTATAAGCGCTAATTATTTTGTCATATAAATGAATTAGTAGTAAGTGTGTTGAAAGAAGTTGAAACAAGAAAGAAGTGTTGTCTTCATGAACTTATCACATTTATTGCAAAAAGCAAAGTTCGATTTCAATGATTCAGATGCTCTTTTAACAAAGTTTTGACCAAAGCCGAAATTGTTGTTTAAGAGCTATACGAGTATGTTATATTCCTCCGGGTCCTCGAAGATGATTTGATGACCCAAAATCTCAAATCTGGAATATCAATCGTATATATAATCGATCGTATATATAATATGTCATTAGTCATAGTGGACCGATCTGACCAATCTGGCCGATTTCGACAAATAATCGTTTAAATGTAAAATTCATCGGTGTACCAAATATGATTAACAGATATAATATTAGGTTTCCGCTTTTTTGTCTTTTGAATTTCGCGGCTATGTACAAAGCGCTACAGAGCTCGTATCTGGCAACACTATACATAATTTGAAGGGTCTTGACATAACCTACAAAACAACGCTATGCATGATTAGTTTGGGTATTATGTAAACATAGAGTTCACTAACGCCGAAATTCGCGCTATTTTAAAGTTTTCCTGCGTTAAAGGCAAATCCGCTAGAGAAACGTTCCATGAGATTAATGGTGTTTTGGGGGATGGTACTCTATCACTTCGAACCGCGGAGGATTGGTTTCGACGATTCAGATCCGGTGAAAACGACACCATGGATAAGCCAGCCTGTGAAAGACCTGTGACGACAAATACCGATCAAATCATGGAATACATCGAGTTAGACCGGCATATGGCATCTCGTGACATGGCAAAGGAGATGGGAGTTAGTCACCAAACCATTTTGAACCATCTGCAGAAGGCTGGATACAAAAAAAAGTTTGATGTCTTGGTGCCGCATAATTTGACGCATGCTGCTGAAACGGAACGAACTCGACCCATTCTTGAAGCGGATGGTGACTGGCGACGAAAACTGGATCACATACGACAATTCGAAGGCCGGTGAATCGTCCCAAACAGTGGCCAAGCCGGGATTGACGGCCAGGAAGGTTTTGATGTGTATTTGGTGGGTTTGGAAGGGAATCATCCACTATGAGCTGATCCCATATGGCCAGACGCTTAATTTTACCATCTACCGCGAACCGCGTGGTGTGAAGTTGAACTCAAAAGAGGCTTGTGAAAAGTGGCTGTCCGAATTCTTCGCATATAAGGAGGGGAGCTTCTACGAGGAAGGTATTATGAAGTTGCCGTCTAGATGGAAACAGATCATCGAACAAAACGGAGCATATTTTAAGGGAAGGGAGATATTTGACAACCTATATATCTCAAAAACTGAGGAACTTGTTTGCGTACAAATAGACGGACAAACCGAAATTCAAAGAGAAAAAAGAATGGAGCAAAGCAAAAAACTTCCGAGACACATTTCGGTCAACAATTTTAAAAATAGTTTTTACAAATTAAACCATTAATATGGGTTTTCAACTGCATCTCTAGTCTTACACCGGCAAAAGAACTAAAGGTTCATACAAAAATTCAAAGAAAACGATTTTTTTTTTTCAAAGTGATCGGTATCTACTCCACTCTCGGCAAGTCAAACAAATTCAAATAATTCGTACCAGACAAATAACGAGTCTCTCAGATAGTTTAGTAGGTCTCTCAGACAGTTTAATAGGTATCTGATATGAAAGCATTTTCTAGTAAGTGAATTTGGAATCGATCTATTTGAAGATTTCCTTTAATAAGGTTATACAATTCGAAAAACTCTTAAGGGGCACACCTCGTGTGAAATTTCAAAAAATCGATCTTTTCTCATCATCTTCATTCATCTTCACACCTTTAAAAATAACATATTAAAATTTTCAAATCGATATCTCAAATAGTTTTTGAGTTAAAGCAATTTAAAGAGCAGCCGCTCGGCAGCTAGAGAGTCTCATTAGCTACGAGACGTAGCTGAGGTATTATTCAGAGTCTACTGTCCCTACCAGCCTCTATAACACGATCTCGGTTTCTATTGTTGGCTCTCAGGTATACTTATAACAGTGAAAACGATCATTTTATCTTTAAACGTGTTTTTCTCGAAACAGCATTTTTCGAATTTGCTGCAGTATCGAATTTTTTTTACATGTTCTATATATATTTAGTTCTCCGTACAATGACCTATCGATTTTTGATCTGATCAAAAAATCGAATTTTGGCAGGCCAAAAACGACCAAAATTTTTGGAAAAATACGACTTTTTTTTAACGCCGCCATATTGTCAATTTTTGGTTTTTTTTTGTCGTAGGCCATTGTACAGACAATATTATCTAGTAGAGAATTTTTTTTCTTAGATTTCATACACGGAGAAGGCCGGAATCACTGCAGCAGTGAAGGACCTTTTTTTTTGTTGCGCCGTTGGAGATCCACTATAACTTAAAAAATATTTAATTTTTTTTTTTCAAAAATTTCACGGTATATTCTTGACACATGTATAAATATATTCTTAAAATTTTGAAATAATTGATAAAGTATTTTTTTTTAATAAAAATTACCAAAAATCACGTTTTGTAGACCATTACACTAGGTGTGCTCCTTAATTTTATTTCGGTTTGTTTGATATTTCAAGCAAATATTTGTATCTCTTTGATTAGGCTTATATGTGGAAAGCTTTTCTTTCATTTTCAAAGGTTTAAACAAAATAATTTATAAGCAAAAATAAAAAATAATGATCTAAAAGCCCAATTATTGAAAAAATTACATAACTCAGTTTGCTTTTTTTTTTTTTTGAAATTATATAATATTAATAAATAAATAAATAGTAAAATCGAAAACTCCTTGTAGGGTGCCTAAGCGCTTAATATTCTATTTGATAACCGGCGAATAGCCGTCGAATTTATTTATAAAAAACCAAAACAACGAGAATATACATACAAAATGAATAAACATATTTACAATTTGCATTAATATATATGTAAGTACGTAAAAAAAAATATGAAATTGCCACTTTTTAACTGCTGAAGTAATTTTCGGCCGACCTCTTCTTGCATTTTGTGATTGTCCCCATATTTTGCCTTCAAGCGGCCGATGGATTTTTATGAGAATCACTTTTGTTTCATGTCCTATATAAACAAGAGGGAAGACCGCAATTGGCAAAAATATTTTATAAAATTTTGCACATCTCTCAAACCATAACTGGAACTCCGGCCTACCGAATAGTAATACGCACTGCTAACCACTCACCAATTCTGAACGCCCACAAATGTCTTTAATTCAGTAATCAACAGTAGTCTATCATTATGTGCGCAAACATACATGCATATATAAACACATACATATTATATGTCAACAACGGGCAACACTAGGAACTATCGACAAAATGCTAGAGAGAGCGTTTGGATATCGCCGAACACTCGAAATTCCATCAATTTTCGCAATGCAATAATCGCGCATGAATCTCTGTATTAATTTGTTATCAACTGAATTGTGCGTTTGTTTGTTTGTTTGTTTGTTTGTATTTTTTTGCGTTTGGCGAGAGAGTGGAGTAGCGCGAATTCTTTGGAATGAAAATAAATATACCACAAATTTAGGCACGTAGACCAGAGTAGTTTCAGCACGCGAAAAAACATGGCGAATAGCGAACAGAACACCAACGCGACGGTGTCTTTTTGTCAGGAGAAGTGGAATCAATTCCTGGATAGAGTTGGTGGGTTTAAGTGAGAAAATTAAAATAGTAAAAGTGTTAATTGAATTAAATGGAAATCTTTTTTGTTTTTATTTTCGTTTTCTTTTTATTGCTTGTGAACCGTTAATGAATAAATGAGTGAATGAATGAGCACATAAATAATTTTAAATTGTTTTTTTTTCCTATGACAAAATACAAATTAAAATATTTTTAAATTTTTTATTCTTCTATTTTTCAGGTGATGATCCGGAGCGCCTCTGGGTGTTTGGCACAGTCGTTTTGATATTTATCATTTATTGGCTTTACGCTGCTGTCTTAACTTTCGTTGACTTGACCAAGAAACCACATTTCGTGCGTAAATACAAGCTGCAACCCGGTAAAAATAATCCCGTTGATACAAAACGGTTATTACCTGTAAGTTGATGCACACACATATATTTGTGTATTAATAAAAGCGTTGAACTACTAAATTACTGTTAATTTTTATGGTCTCATATTTAAAAAGTATTTCACTAAATTTGAACTTTCTTTGAAACCTTCAGGCTCTACGCGTAGTGCTCTTCAATCAAACATTTGTCGCCATACCCCTCGCCTATGGTCTCTATCATTTCGTCTATAAATACCAAAACACCCAAGACATACGCATATTACCATCGATACAGCAAATTGTTTTCGATTTGGCTTTATGTTGTATTTTGGAGGAAATTATCTTCTACTATGGCCATCGCTTGCTGCACTATGGCGCTCTATACAAGTACATCCACAAGAAGCATCATGAATGGACTTCACCAATCGCCGTTGTGGCGCATTATTGCCATCCAATTGAGCATATACTGGCTAATACATTCCCCATTGCTTTGTCTTTGGGTGTGGTGCGTGCTCACTTGGCCACCGGTTGGATATTCTTTGCTATCGCCACATACAATATATTGAGTGATCATGCTGGATACGCTTTCCCTTGGTCACTGATTTCCGTGCCATTCCATGATTATCATCATGCTACATTTAATTACAATTATGGTGTCTACGGTTGGTTGGATAGGTTGCATGGTACTTATGGCGCTTACGATAAGTCTGGACAAATTGAGCCACAACATAGGCCTGCACAAAAACAGAAATAAAAACAAAAAAGGTAGTTAAGTAGATACATATGTGTGTACATGCGAAATTTCGGCTACCTCACAGAAATATCACTTGAAATTCAATTAAATTCTATTAAAAAATACAATATGAGATTTTACAAAGTATAATATATATATACATGCTTACATAAATATGTCACTAACTAATAAAACAATTAATTGTGAAACACTTCTCGAAAGTTAGAAAAAAAAACAATATTTTATAGTTTAGTTGTTTATAAATCCATTTGTATATTTATATAGATATATTATACATATGTACGTACGAGTATACTTAAGTGAATCTACATCAACGTTCTTTATAATAATATAATATAATAATAAAATAAATAGTACATTTATTAAGATATATATATATGCAAGTTTGTTTGTATGTCTTTTTATGTGATCACGGAAACTACTCCTCGGTACTTGGCACTTTATTTCTATGATCGCTGGAAAGATTTGTACGAAAACATTTTCCGGGAAGTGGAGCAGAGACTATTCGAAAAAGTCTTAACTAAGATTTACATGAAATTCAATAAATGGGTGGCTTTTTACTTGAATTCTCTCGCTTATCTTCGGGAAGCGAACTAGAGACTGAACAAATAAGAAAAATTAATATTTATGGTTTGATTCACTTGAAATACGGTAGGGATACCATTTCTTCCGAGAAGTGGACCAGGGAAAAAACTATTCGAAAAAAATTAAATTTAAGTTCTTTTTATTAGAACTTTTTCTTCAGCGGGAAGTGGTTTAATCTATTTGAAAAATATTTAATATTAAATTAATATTAAATTTGGAAATAGGCATAGCTCGTGCGCACGTATGTTCGCTTTGAATTTTTGATTATTCTGCGGGTGGAGGTTACAAGCTATTATATATGTATATGTTCAACCTGAGTGTAAATAAGCAAAGATACGAATGGCATTAATTTTGACATTTTCGTAAATGATTCTGAGCACTGAAGAGGTAACCTACACGTACAAACATTTAGCTAGATCAATTAAATATTAAAAAACTCAATATGTATTAGACCACAAATTGAACAAAACACCAAAAGCAACAACAATTTTTGGCCGGGTCTACTAGTATGGTTATAAATATCCAAAGAATAAAAATAAAATTAAAAATAAAAATAATAATAATAATAAATACATATCAATCAATTTTTGAGCCAAATAAACAAGCTTAATTAAAAACGATATTTAAAATTCACAAATAATCAAACTTTGCACTGTAACACGCTACATATAAAATCGAACCCCGATTTTGACCAATTACTAAATACATAAAACATATTTTTATGTAAGTAAGAAAAATCTGAGTTCAACCGGCACAACAACTTTTTTCAATTTAAAATATTAATATAACAATTTTCGATATATGATGCCTCTTCTACACCTACTTTTAAGGTAATTTCCCATCACGATATATATATATTATGTTTTTTATTTTTTTTTTATTTGTTTTTTTTTTTTATATTTTTTTCGCTTTTGTCGAGGTCATCTAAACAAGAAAATCAGAAGTTTTAGCAACTACGCTATAGTTTCCAGACCTTAGTTGTGCCATGGTAGACAGATAAATGTTGCTGTTCCTGTTATTATTATGGCGTTTTGCTCAACATAGGCCAGGGTCGGGCAGAGGTTGCTTATGTCATAGACGTCATCTAACGGAAGGCCTAAGAGAAGAACTGTTTCGACGGATTCGAAAGTTAGAGAAGGAGAGCAGTGTTAGGTGAGTTAGTTTAAAGGCAATGCAGAAAGTTGGTTAGCGTCCTTCGGGGAGTCATTTCATGCAAACATGGATCAAGTCATGTAGAAGTCTACAATAATCTACAGACATCAATTGTGACAGTATTAGACTAGTGATACAACGCAGCTCATGCTCTTCGTCTTCACGGGAAGAGAGTTAGTAAACGTGATGATGGCCTTTCAGTAAATAACTTTAAGTGTCTATCGGTAGTTTGTATTGTTGTGATGCGGACTATCCTTGCAAATATTGCATAAAATATGATTCTTAACCATGAGCATTAAAGTTCCTCTGTGTATGTGTTGAAAAGGTGACATCAAGAAGTTACCTTGGATCGGTAAACTTAGATTTATGTTCTGAAAGATCCGCAAGTTAGCGAATTGCGGATATTTATGCCGATCTGTACTTTGGTAGTAATCGCAGTTGTATGCAGAGTGGAGGAGAGCAGCGTTCCAGTGTAACTCCCAAAACTTTGGCTTCCTTGTTGATGGAATTTTGATATCATTGAATTTCTCAATTAGTTCGAGTCGGAACTTCTTTCTCCAGCTGGTGAATAGGATCAGAGTCATGCAGAAAATAAGTGAAAGGTATTCTAGTGGTAGCATTTTACCCACGAACAAAGGTAAATACTCTGGCCAGATGACAATCCCGTCAGGGAAACGGTCCTCTGCTGATGCAGTTAACTTCTAGGCATTAAAATTAAACATTACCGACGAGACTGTCGTAAGATCTTCAGATTCGATTTCCCTTGACTAGTTCCATGTCAAACGACTGTACCGTTCGTTAATCACTTCATAATTAACATGAACCTTGCCAACCATACTAGTTTAACAGACTCGTTGACTAATATTTCGTTTTAAAACGAGAAGCATCAACATTGTGCAATTTACCACATGATATGATGATATGTCGATACAGAAAAGTTTAAAGCTATCTAAAATTTTATAGTAAACAAAACTATTTTTTAGTGATAAAAATATTAATATCTATTTACAAGTTTTACAGAATGAGAAACGATTGAGTACCTTAACATCAATTGGCATTAGTTAATATTTTAGTGCTTATAAAAGCAACTCTGCAAATAGTCAACACTGAAGTCAGCTGATTGTATAACAAACTGCATCAATTTTGATAAACCTTTTTTGCATACAAAAGTGAGAATATAAAACCAAATTTAGAAATCCAACTGGAAAAGTTAAGTTTTGAATTTACGCAAAAATAATTCCATGATAGAAATTCAGTTTCTAGAACGGAAAGAGTAGGATAAAAAATGGAAAGGAGAAAGTTTAGCTTATATGTGGTGTGTCTACACTTATTGGGTTTTTCGTTTTTGGCAAATTGCGACAACATCGGCATAGCAACGTCATCAGCTAAAAATGCATTGCCTATTAACAATAATACGGTTCTAAATACCACAATGACATTACAACAAATACTAAATACTACTGGATCGAAGGCAAATGTTCATAAAAATCGCACGATAAGTCCAACAAACTTAGATATCATTCCTAAAGAATCAGGAGCAGCAGTTGAAATAAATATCGGTAAAACTAAATCAGTGGCGGAACAAAGTGAACCAAATGCAGTACTAGGTGAACCTCTGTCAAATAATCCGAATATCACTAAATATAACAATACTCACAAGGACAATGGCACGCATGTTGTAATTTCTCTGAACTCAACAGATCCTATAGGTTATACAAACTCTACTGCTAAAATCAAACCAGACCCTTTGTTTCCAACAAAACAAGGTAATGATAGTGTTGTAATACTTACCAAAACAAAAGACGAAAAATCTACAACGACATCAACTACTACCACTACAACAACAACCACTACAACGACGACGACAACAACGACCACACCGAAACCCAAAAAACCCAGCATTACCTTTGGACTTGCTGACTTCCCAGTTTTGCCAGGGGAATCCAATATTATAAACAAGGTATCGGAATCATCTAGCTTAAAATTTCCAGTCCCAAACGATTCAGTTGCACCACCGAATGCAGAACCGTCCCAAGAGTTGAATAGCGGATTTAACTATCGCAGCGGTCGAGATTATATTGTACCCGTAATGACGGTGCTTTTTACAATTCCTTTGGCCATTGGAGTAGTAATCACTACCTATCGGCGTTTTCGCGATTGTTGGTCGACACGACATTACCGACGAATGGATTTTTTGGTGGATGGCATGTACAATGATTGACAACTGGCTACCAAAGATTTATCAGAGAAAAGTGACACAGATGAAAATGTCGATAACGTTGTTGACGCTGCTCAGCAAATGAAACAGCACCGCACAATAATAATGTCTTAATAGTTGTGAAATGATAAGAGAGTGAGATTGATTAATTGTATGTAGATATAAACTGATAGACTTTCAACATACTTTCTTAATATTAACTTAAGCGTGTATTATAGCTTACATGCAGACATGCATTTTTTATTTTCAGTAATATGCAAGATGTCAAAAATTTAAAATCAATGTCCATCTGCTTACGATTTAGTTTATGTGCTTTTGCATATCTAATTATTTATAAATTTTTAGTACCATAGTAGTAGATGCATATGTATGTACAAATGCATGTATTTATCTAAAACATTTTCGGGAACCGACGATTTTCACAATTGCATGTTGTTTGCGAAAAATTCCAAGTCCACTCAAGCCAAATTTTCGATATACATATGTATGTATGCATGAAAGTAAAATAAATATTAAAAAATGTTTTTAAGCGGTGATGAAGTAACATTAAACCAAAAACAAAAAAATGGTGCGAAAAAATGTTTAAGCTCAAAAAAACACAAAATCTTCACTTATAGACGTGGTTCACCTAGAAGACATAGCATTTATAGAAAGTAAAATCACATAATTTTAGACAATATTTCACAAGTTGTAAAATAAAATCAGGCTAAAAACTTTTCTAAGTTTCACTGATTTTTTATGATAAATTTCGGCTTCCATACTGATTGTGTAAAATTATTGTATAAGAAACTCTAATGTACTCATAATTTTCGTTTATATGACAATAAATTAAAAACTCAAAATTTTATAATGACATTCAAAGAAAAAAAATTATTGCTAAATATCAAAGCATTTACAAAAATGTAGATTTAAAAGTGCCTTATAAGCGTTAATTGGCGTTTATTTCATGTAGGATACTCACATATTGTATTTGTGTTTAGATAATAAGATATTAAAAAACAATCTTACACGTGTATATATCGTGGTAGCAGCAAATAATCATATGCACACACATACATACATGCATAAATAATTACCTTGTAAAAACCATTGAGTGAATAAATGTAATAAAATAAAACTGATGTTTTTTATTTATTTTTCCAATTAATAAATATGATTTGAGTTAATTAATTGCCAATAATTACAGTGCATCAGGTTAGTCAATCACAAATATATAAGTAGTAGAGCTATCTTTAAACCCTCAGGACCTCATTAAGCTGAAATTAAAAAAACAAAATAATTACTAGAAAATATCAACAATTCAATTTATCTGTAAGAAACATATAACGTTAAATATAGTAACGGAAAAAGTAATTTGTTGCAAATAACTCAGATGGGTGAACAATTACAACCGTCAATCAGACTAAAGTGATCGACAAGCGGCGTTGGAGCTTTGACTCAGGGTGAAAAAGATCACCATATAGGCATTCATAGGCAAATATGTATGTATGTTTATAAATCTGTTGTACTCCATTTGTCAAAAAAAGATATTTGTTTATGTATTTACACCTTCGTAGCAAAACATTTCACTTCTTCCACTACATCATCCTCCAGAGCTACCCGACAACTAACATGATGAGCAAACCGATTAGCCACAAAGCTTATAGTGCGGCCATGTTGGCGTGCGAATGGATGATCAGTGATGCAGTGTATTAACAACTCAATAGAAATTAAAAACAATCATGTATTTTCACTAGTACATGCTTGATGAAAACAAAAATTTCTAAAAATATATAAACACGCATATTTATGTGAGTATGCTTGTATACATGTATGCATATCTCAATATATACAACTCTGTATTGTATACAGAAATACAAGTTTACATTTGCTTTTATACTAGACGACCGGAAAATCCGTAGCAACTAGTAGTTGGTGGTTTTATATATTTATATGTATTTTTTGAAATTATAAACAAACGTATCTGCGTGTGTAGACGAACAACGCTGGAAAGCATTTTCCAATGTATGCAATCAAATCATACGTGAATAGGTATATTAAATTGGAATATAAACTCTGGAGAAAAGGAAAAAAACAACTCTAACCATACATGCAGAAATTCTGTGTATGTTTATACAAACGTTTGTAGGCATTATGTGTAAATTTATGTGTATGTTAAGCACAAAGGCAAATTTTAATTTTGAAAATTCTTCGCGCTTTCCTAATATTCTTTACCTCAATTTAGTTGCCTTTTCTAGCTCCTAACGTTTAGATCTTCTCAACGCGGCCAAATAGCAGAGCTAAAGTGAATAAAGTGCGCGTTCGTATTCATACAAAAATCAGATTTCCAAATACTGATATCCTTTTAGCAAAAATGAATACCACAACTAGTCCACATCGCGCACGCGTTAATCCGGTCTCTTCGCATGCCATTTGTTATCCAACAACGGATGTCCGTTCGCCGGCTGTGCATGGATCGCGCGTTTACCAGGGCTTAAAAACATGTACATAAGTAGCACTTGGTATCATTTATCTAAAATTTACTACACATATACATATATAATAATTAACATAAAAAAAAATTATATGAAAAACATGGCATTGTTCAAAACCTTTACCGCAGCACATTATGCAAAATTAATTGTAACGAGAAAAAATGTTTGTCTACGGATATACCTTTCAGGAATTAAATATTTTAGGCCAATTATATACATACATACATATTTATTTAGAGGTAATAAAGTGCCTTTCTGTTACCAATATCACCTGTGATTTCCTACACTCATCGTCATAAATCCTGTTGATGAGTTTAAATTTCCTCCTTTGAACTAAATCTCATATTTGATTTAATGTTCTTAAAATAAACATATAAAAAAATGAATTTAATCAACTTATATATAATATAATATTGTATAATAAACCCAACAATTACGCTCCTCACGCCCAACCGACACCAGCGGCGACATCCGTTTATTATACGTAGGCTTCAGGGTCATGAGAGGAGGCAAGAGTTTAATAAATACTACAGAAAAAACTGATTCAATTGCTAAAATTCCGAACTCCAACTAGAACTTAATTGATGAGTGAAGTGTTGATAAAAATTATAAAAAACGAAAATTAAAATTGTGACACAAGCAGGGAAAACTATGTTACGTATACGCATAGCCGCACTGATAATTTGCCTGTAGTAGATAAACCGTAGAGCTTTTCTAAACAAATCATGAATTAAGGGGTTACATAGGTCTTGAAACTTCAAAAAATTCATTTTTTTGATAATTTTTTGTATAAAAGTACAAAGTGTCAGGAATATTTTCCTCAAGTTTCAAGACGATCGAGACGAAACTATAGAAGTTAGAGAGTTTTATAACCCGCCGTCATGGCCTGACCGATGATAAAACTTTTAACGCGTTTTTCTTAAAACCACTTTATCGAAATCGGTAGTCAAAATTTCTCAACGACTATAGAAGCGATCGAGCGCAAATTTTCCACACTTCTTTTAAGCATGTCTTTGTAGTCCCTGAACGGAGGATTTATTTTATCTTTGATTTCAACTTATTTTACAAGTCAACATGTGGCCTAATTTCATGCAAAAAATTACGTATTTTTTAAAAACGCTACAAAAAAATAATTTTTTAATTGCTTTAATTTTTCTTTGTTCAGGGACAAGGTCTCACCTACTTTAAGAAAAAATTTAGATTTTTGAATTCAGATAAAAATTGAAAAAGCTATCATGACTACCGCGAAAGCGCTTTCTTCTAGACGGTCTACTTCACGACACTTCCAACGCCTTAACTTCTACTATTTTTCGTTCAAATTTTCATCAAATGTTCTCCACATATTGTAATTTTATATGTAAACAAAATAAATTATATATTTTATTTAGTATCTTTAAAAAAAATTAGAGAAAATAAGCTTTTCCTTGGCCTTCAAGACCTATGTTACACCTTAAATTATTGTGGAAATAATTTTATTTTGTTAGTTTAATATTTTTACAACAATATGATTTGAATGACGAAAAAATTTAAAAAAAATATCGCTAATTTTCAATTGGAAAAATAATAAATACATATTATTTTGTGATAAATTGAAAGGGGATTTTGTTTTCAAGAATAAAATAAAGAAACCTTAAGAATCTCACATAAGCCAATGATATGGGTTAAATCATTTAGAATACATTCATTTGGAAAAGTATTTCTAAAATTTTGTTCCGCCTTTGTGACGTCATTTTGTGCAGAAAGGATGCGTCTGTATTGACGGTAAAACTCGTACATCGTGTTACAATACAGCTTTTAGTTAAAACCAAAATTGAGTTTTTAAACAGATTTTTTACAAAAAAATGGAAATATTTTAAAATATTTTTTAACATATTTTTTAAATAGCTGCGATTAAATTGAAAAAAATTTTTCGTCCGATTTCACCTGAATTGTATCTCGAAGACCTTTGTGCAATTACATTGAAACCGCTGAGTCTACCTGTTTTTTAATGCGCACCGTCTCAAGGTTGTATTTCCGAAACTTTAATTCGGATCGACTTGAAAATCGATTTCAATGAATTGTAGAAATTAATAAGACATTCAAAAATTGAAGCTGGGAAACTCGTTTAACCCCTTAAAAAGGCAACGCAGCAAAAAAAAAGTTACGTATACGCTGTGATGTACTAGTAGGCCAACTCAGTTTATAAAATATTAAACACAATTCTAAAGCATGCACTCCATATGCATTAAATTCTTATAAAAAAAAATCGTTTTTGTTACTGTATTCAATTTTTATTAATATAACTTTATTATTATTAATAACTGTACAGAGTTTTCAATACTTTGCAAACATGTCCAAATAAACCCATAATGCGGGTTATTAATAAAATTAATGTGTTTTATTGGAATCAGTAGAGGGCACACAGAATTCCAACACAATTACTATGTGCCATATACGGATGTGATACGCAATATATGACTATCCGGAATTAGTATATTAATATGGAAAATTCGAGCCAATAGCACAGCCTAAGTCAGCGTATAATTTCAAGCAAATTGAATCATAAGCAATATTTTTGGAGATAAAATGTTCCGAATGTTGATCTAAGCTTAAAGCCAAAAGCCAAATTTCAAGTGAATCAAATTATAAATATCATAATTTTTTTAATATACCCAGGATATTTTCTTTTTTATGAGATGCTTTTATTTCATGTTAAAAATACACTAGGGAATGTCAATCCTCCCTGCACAGGGGCGACAGCAATTAATTTTCTATAATTTTTGGATGTTTGTTCGAACCAAGGCTTGAACCCTGGCAATTCGACTACGGCATTCGAATATTTCACAATCAAAATTACCCAAATCGGTTCAGCCATGCTCGACTTTGAGCGATTCAAGCGAGCTTCAACTGGTTTTTATAAATGTGGATAGATTATTCGAGCAAAGAAAAGAACAAAAGTAACGTGATTTCAAAGCATCCTGGCTATAAGGTGTATGCATAAGAAACTCCCAACTAAGCTCTCGGAGCTTCTGGCGGGTCACTATCTCTTTGTGTGCTCTGGTTTCGTCCTGATGAAACGCAGCCACCCTCCTGTTGACCAAATCTGAGCGCTTTTGGGCGATTTCTTCCCTCAGACGGTCGTCAATCAAGGCTTAGAGACCGCTTATGTAGTCCAGGAAGGGGACTAAGGACCAACCTATACAAAAAACTCGTATTTAGGGTTAGATTTAATCGAAATTCGGTACGTATGTAAGTGGATTTTTGCTTTGATTAACAGGAAGACTACTAATACTACTCTCCGGAATCTACTCTCCGGAATCTGAATCAGAGACTCACCTAATCTAAAAATTATGTATATCATTTACATAGGTTTTTGCTTTGATTAACATGAAGACTACTGAATCTATACGGAAAAAATTTAAGGCTGTATTTCTTTGCGAGAAAGCTATCACCAACAGATTGACAAAAATTGGTATAATTTGGATATAATCATATACCAGCGTAGGTATGTACGCTTTGGGTTACAAGCCAGTTTTATACGTTCAACCTGTGTGTGATCAAGCTTAGAAAGCTCCGAGCCCATATATAACGGAAAAATTTAATATTTTGCCTTAGACGAGCTTAATATAGTTTTTTGTATTGTTCTTTGAACTATTAATTAGAATAATAATTAGACAAAATATAAAAACCAAAATAATGTGAGGGCGAGGCTGCCAGTAATAAAATTAGTAACTTAAAAAAAATAAAAAATTAAAATTCTATCAAAACAAATTTAAATTCTATCAAGTTTCATGCTAACGAAGTCGCGGAAAATTTTAATCATCAATAAAATAATCAATTAAGGCATCCCAGTGCATTCACTCCCTGCATAAAAGAATTAATATTGCTAAATCTAGGGGAATTTAATTAAAAAAAAAAAAACAATTTCGAAACTACCAAGTTGCATTAAAAGAATAGTTAGAGATTTAACAGTATGTATGTACGTATGCCAATAATCACGTGTTGAAATAAAAAGACTTTGTTTACTTCAACAGACTTTTGAACGAAACACTGACATAAAATAAGACAAAAGTAAACAAATTATGAAATTCATGAGAAAATTTGGAAGATCGCATCAACTACGGTCAGCGCAGGAAAGCTTATCAGAATTAGCAACACTTAACAGCTGACCGTAATCTATAGAACGAAGTAAGAATGCAAAATAAATTCGTTAATATGTATGCACAATTTTTTATCTTTTTTTTTCTTTGTATAAACACAACCAGTTTTCATTTGCAAATTCACCAACAAATGGTATTTAAGAAACAAATAAACACTTGAAACATCGGTGAAGTGCATTGTACGAGAAATAATTTACCTTGCCGACAGATATATGAATTTGAAATCATATATATGTGCATACATATGTATTTATATACATAACTATCAGTATGAATTATAAATATGTACAAAGAAAAGTTTGGTTAGTTTCATAATTACGCGCCGGCGTTCATACTCTTTCTGACTGCAAGTGTGCCTGATAGGAAAGTCGCTTACACCTTTTCCTTTGTTGGTGTAGAATATATCTTCAACTTCAGTGATAAACAGGCAGCATTAAAGAGGCTCAATTGTGACGAACTTTAAAATCGTGCTGGACCCGTCGCAGGGGATAACTGATCAGAACAAACTATGCTTGGTATGGATCATTGCTTACAGAGACATAGCAGTGAACTGTAGAGCAGACAAACCTACTCGACAAGACAGGTTTCTTCCAAATATAGAACGCTTTGGTATACCTCTAGCCACATTGTAACCAAAGAAAAATATAGAACTCGTTTGAAAACAGGCATGAGGAAGCAACCATGGCCGAAATGTAGCCGGTTAAAGTCTAATGGCTTATACTCTTAGAGAAAAGAGGACATTTAAAAGTAAGTGGTATTCTGGCAAGACCATACCTTATAGGCCGGCATGCAGAAAGACCACAGGCTCCTTTCAGGAGATATTGTGAGAGCTGTGGCAGTGATCAGGAGGAAGAGACGGTTTTCATCTGT